ATTTTTCAGGATAAAAGAGGAAGACAAGGGCAGGCAGCACATTTAACCAATATGCAATACGATACAGTATCAAACGTTTAGGCCAAGTACCACCTAGTCTCCAATATTCCTTTTTTTCCCATCTTTTTTTTCTGTTCTCAGTATTGACTAAATTGAAAGCTGAGTGCTTAAAAACTGTGAGCAATATAACACCATATCCTAATTAATATCAACGGGCCAAAATTGCTGCTCATACTTATAAGCAATTTTCAAAGGAATGAAAAATTTATTGAAAGCTGAGTGCTTAAAAACTGTGAGCAATATAACACCATATCCTAATTAATATCAACGGCCAAAATTGCTGCTCATACTTACAAGCAATTTTCAAAGGAATGAAAAATTGTTGAAAATGTACTCACCCCTCAGGTCATCCAAGATGTAGATGAGTTTGTTTGTTCATCTGAACAGAGTTAGAGAAGTGTAGCATTATATCACTTGCTCACCAAAGGATCCTCTGCAGTGAATGGGTGCCGTCAAGGTCCAAACAGCTGACAAAAAACATCACAATAATCCATAAGTAACTGACACAACTCCAGTCCATCAATTAACCTCTTGTGAAGCAAAATGCTGCTAAAATATGAGTCCTTATCCATAATATTGCTTTCTCCGGTGAAAAAGTTATCTTGTCTGAATCAGGAGAGAAATATGCACAGATCATGCATCGTTTACATGCAAAAAACAGTTCTAAACAAATATTTCTGTGGATTTTGATGAGAAAGGGAAAACAGGTCATGGACTTTTTCACTGGAGGAAGCATCAGTATGGATTATGGACTATATGACAGAAGTTTAAAGTTCAAATGCATTAATGGTGGATTTGTTTTACACACAGTTTTGGTGGACTGGAGTAGTGTGGATTACTTGTGGATTATTGTGATTTTGACAGCTGTTTGAACTCTCATTTTGGTGGCACCCATTCACTGCAGAGAATCCATTGGTTAGCACGAGATGGCCTGAGGGTGAGTACATTTTTAGCATTTTTTTTTATTTTAGGGTGAACTATTCGTTTAATGATAATTGTTAGATATTAATATTAATAATCCACTTACAGTGAGTGGACATGGAAACACTGCAGCATAACAATTTGTGTTTTGTTAGTACACTTATGAACCTTTGTTTAGAGTTAATCATTCTTTTATTTTTGTGTATTTGTGCTTTTCAGTCATAACGAGAGCACTGTGAAGTTGCAGAGGTTTTCAAACAGTGACAACTTTTGTCTGATTCTGCCTCCGAATCTCAAATCTGCAATCGCCGCCGTCACGTACATGGCTGAACAATTGAAGAAACAGGATGTGGACGGTACTGTAAGTCTATGAACACACATGCTCACAAACCACACACATTCTCATTCACTTTCCGTCTCTGTTTTTCCACACAAACTCACAGATACACAAAGAAACCTTTATCTAAGGCTCTTCCTCTCGGTCTGTCCCTGATCCTCATGATTATTCATAAATTGACAATACACATCCTCCTGTGTCGGTGAGATCAACATATCACATTGTTTCTGTGTTTGATGTGTGCCCGTGTAGATGACAGATGACTGGCAGTACATTGCTGTGGTTTTGGATCGGCTCTTCCTTTGGCTCTTTGTCATCATTACTACCCTGGGCACATTGGCCATGTTTCTGGATGCCAGTTTCAACTACACTCCTGACCAACCTTTTCCATGAGCACATCCCTTAAATGACAGGCACACAGCTCCTGAACACAAAACATACTAAGACTGTAGTTGGTGTGGACTGACTCTAGGGGGCATCAAAAATCATATTTATTTGCCCTTTCTTTCTCTCTTTCTTTCTTTCGATGTTTCCATTATAATATATTGTTGATATGTTTCCATAACAAAATATTTGTTATTTTCAATTTCTTTCAATTCATCCACTATGCTTATAATCATACATTTACTCTTCATTTGTCACTTATTACATACTGTATTAAGTCACTATATGTAATAAAACTTTAAGAATAATTATTTTACTTCTTAAGTAATATATTAAGAAAATGTTCTTAATGTTTATGTTTCTTAACTTTTTCATTGATCTGATGTTCATAAAACAAAGAGAGCATGTAAATTGTTGCCTTTATTTAATTGTTTTTAATAATTTATTTATTGTTTATTTCATAATTCTTTTAATTTTTTTTTTTTTTTTTGAGAAATTGGGCATCTCTAATGCCCTAGAGAATATATCATAAATATTATAATCACATGCATTCAGCATAATCTAAACAGTCATACAATATTTCTCTCCTTGTGTGCAGCTCTTTTCTGTCTGCCAGCAGTGGTTTGTTAAATCCTTCCTGGATCTGACTCGTCACTAAACCATTAGGATATAAAGTCTGACAAGCATGCCGTAACTCCATGCTTTGCCAATCTAGCTACGGTAAAGTTAATGAACTGATGTGCAGTCAATTCTAAATAAAATTAGCTGATGGTTTTCTGGCTGACACACCTCTTTTTCAGCCAGTAATTTGAATATTAACTTGCATTATGTTGTCCATTTATTATTATTGTGATGAACCACTTACTCTTGGCTAATTCTCAAATAATTTGAGATTTAAAACTTTAAAATCTGAATATACTGGCAGAGCCAAACTCATGGCTCATAAGTTCCTAAAGCAACATGATATTGTTCATGATTACCTTACAGAAGCTTTTATTGGGTTAACATTAAATTATTTGGACTTACATGACCAATTGTATGCTAGTTTTCTAATATTTTGTGTTGAATCAATTGCTGTAGCATGAAATTAAAGTCATGATTTTCTTTTATTGAGTCATGGATGTTACAAGTCTTTAAAGTCAGCATGAAAACAAAATGAAAATTAATATTTTTTTCTTAGTGTACATTTCTGGTCTTGGCGCACATTATTCTCAAGACAAATTACAAAGTATTTTTGATCTAATAAATGCAGTCTTAGTAAGCATAAAAGACCAATTTTAAAAACATGACTTGTAAATTTTTTTTTTTTTGGTTTTTTTTTTTTTTTAAGTTGTCATCAATAGAAAAGAGACCTTGGAATTCCTAGATTACATCAGTTTGGCCTGTGTGCCTACATTTCTGTGAAGGCACCTAGTTGCATAAGAAGTAAAAGAAAGAGGTAAGAAATAATGAAATAAGAAAAGCATTAGCCAAGTCACTGCTTTTCAGGGGAAACCAGAGGCCTGTGTGTTTTATTGCTAACGGTTCAGTGGGCTTCTAAGAAGGCTTACACCAGTTTAATCACTGTTTTTTTTTTTTCACTGTCTGTAAACTACAAAAAAAGCCCTGGAGCCAGCCAGAAGAAAAGCCATGAAGGGAGTTTCTGTTCTTCTTGGGGCTGATTTAGCACTGCTGCTCTCCCTTTACTGAGTGTTGTCTGTTTACTGGAACTAGGTGGGGACAGAAGCTTTGAAAAAATGTCAAAGTTTCTTTTGTGTGTCAAGGCTACTTGGCCCAGTGCTCAGGAACCGGCCAATGTTAGGGTGACAGATAAATCACGTTACCAGGGGCGACCAGGGTAGTGTGTGCTAATTTCAAGATGTTACTGAAGCAAAGAAGTTCCTTCTACTGTATCTGCCAACTGTTATTCCACCTCTCCTACACATTCTCTGAGAATTCCGAGAACAAAACTGTGACTTTTCGGCAGTGGTGGACAGTAACGGAGTAGTTTTACTTCGTTACTGTACTTAAGTACATTTTTCAAGTATCTGTACTTTACTGGAGTAGTTTTATTTTGAGTAACTTTTACTTCACTACATTCCAAAGCATAAGATCGTACTTTTTACTTCACTACATTTCATAAAACATATCGTTACTCCTTGTAATAATATAGTGGTTATTTTGGGAAAATCCCAGGTATTTTGAGCAGTAGGATTATAAAAAATATGTGCTAATATAAATTTAAATTAGCCTATATAAAATTGCAATATAAATCTATCTAACAGTACTTTTTTACTTAAGTACATAAAAAATCGAGTACTTTTGTACTTTCACTCAAGTAAAATTGAAAAAGGAGTTCTTTTACTTTTACTGGAGTAATATTTTATTATACGTATCTGTACTTTTACTCAAGTACTTGATTTGTGTACTTCGTCCACCACTGCTTTTCGGTTATCTATTCGTTTAAATCCTATTTGTTACCTTTAAAAGAAACCATCAACCGAAAACATGGGTGTCGGACATAGACACTTTCTGGAGTGAAAACAATTTCCTCTTCGAATAGCATTATTGCTTCCGCCCTATTTTTCTCAGGTTATAGATATTTCCTCTTTACCTTTGTAAGATCATTGTAACATTGGCGCCAACTCTGCACCGCAGACAATAGTTGATAGTGTTCCAGACTTGTTTCCCCTTTCACCGGAAGTGCATAGGTCACCTGATGGAATGGTTAGACGTGACAAACGTGTCCTCATGGAATGGACAAGATGTAAGTCGAGGTTCTGAGACTGAATAGGCAATAGTATGTGAAACGTTTTAAGCACCAAGTAAACGGAGGAAAATGGAAGGTTTTCAAATGTATCAATGTAAATTAAAGCAGGCAAAATAATAATAATAATTTCTATAATAATAACTATAACAACAACAATAACCTAGTGTTTTATTCTATGGAAGCCCGTTTCCGCCAACATACAAAAGGAAATCATAATTAATTTTTCTTTCATGTCATAGCCTACTTGTGATTTTTACCACAACATGTTTTTGGTGGAAGCGGGTTTCCTTATTAAAGACACTTGGCTAGAAGAATATGTTATAGAGAAAACATAAACTTTATCTAGCTTGCTACCCGATATTTTTTGTAGGATAATAAAAGTTTAAAACTTAAGTAAAGATGATGCGAGTGGTACTGTGGCGTGACGTCACGACACCGGGCATGGCACAACGGGCATCGCGCGCCAGCCTGCCGTTACCCTCTCATTCGCTCGAGACCACACTTCGGCACTTCGACCGTAACTGGCATCCGTGTCGAGATATAAACACCGCCAGCTGACTGACAGACTGCTGTTTTTCCTCGGAGAGTTGGTCGCTTTCTCAACTTCATCGACAGTTTTTTCGGGGAGGTCCTTCAGAGAGTAACAGGTGCGGGACAGGAGCTTTTCTCAAGTTTGTTGCCAACTGTTGCTCTGCTTGCCATTAAGTGTCAAAAAAATATGGCAAACTCGGGCGTTCAGTTGCTTGGATTTGGTCTCTCTCTGATTGGCATCATTGGACTGATCGTGGGCACCATCCTGCCGCAGTGGAAGATGTCCGCGTACGTGGGGGACAGTATTATCACGGCAGTGGCCACTTACCAAGGACTGTGGATGTCCTGCGCGTTTCAGAGCACCGGACAGCTTCAGTGCAAAATCTACGACTCCATTCTACAATTAGACAGTGAGTGTCAAACATCTATCTATCTATCTATCTATCTGTCTGTCTGTCTGTCTGTCTGTCTATCTTAGTTCATAAAATACTTATTCATTTTATTTATTAATGTTCCATATTTTAGTACATGATTAATCTGTATTTGCCTGTAATACCTGAAGGTCCACATGTAAAGGAGCCAGAGGAATCGAGCTAATCGAAAAAGAATAAATCTAAATTTGAATGTAGAAAATCAAATTCAATATCACACATGGGATCCAATATGTAGCCTTATATAAATTGGTCTAACAGATGAAGTGCCTGTCATGTAATATAATGTATATCTGTACTGTAGGTGTTTATTGGAATTCTCTGGCAACTGAAGCCGTAGTTTCCAACTCTTCTCACACACACACTCAAATAAACACTGATGCCATTCCCAGCTTGATTAATGGATGCTGGCCTCGCCAGTGAGACTTTGGATCTACTGTATGACTGTAATGTAACCAGGCAGGACAAGTAGCCATGGTGCCTGTGCTTCTCCTGGAAGAACATAATCCATTGTTTCTATAGCTGCCAAAGTATTTTTATTAACACACCCAACTACCAGTAATGAATTATGAGTTTATTCATTGAATTGAGTGCTTCAGTGTAGGGCTGTTACAGAAACATTCCCCATTCCCTCAGTTCCCCCGAGGGCTGGGATAGGAAACCACAACCTCACGTTCCACCTCAGAGTTTGCAGGAACACTCTCTACAGATTAACATAGACTGTTCTAAAATGTGATTTAGCTCTCGCGGTTCACTCTTTAACTTGATGTATTTTCTGAGGGGCTCTGGGCAGAACCTCGGGGGTCATTTCTGAGAAAACTGCAGGACACTTCTAGTTGAAACCAGCTGGAACTGCACCTGACAGCAGGTTGAAATTGGATGGAGGGAGGAGCGATCAAATTTGTTTTAATGTTATAAATAAGAATTTAATATTACTTGTATAATATTAAAATATCATCTTTATTATTATTGAATGATAATTAAATTTAGATCTCAATATCTAGTTTTGGAGTGACTTGATGTATTTTCTGAGGGGCTCTGGGCAGAACCTCGGGGGTCATTTCTGAGAAAACTGCAGGACACTTCTAGTTGAAACCAGCTGGAACTGCACCTGACAGCAGGTTGAAATTGGATGGAGGGAGGAGCGAAAGACGAGAGAAAGCATGGATGAAGGGTGACCCCTGAATTCCACCACTGACTGTTTTCTGTGCCTGGCAAGAGATGCCTCATTGTGTTTTAATGAATAAAGGAGAGGAATAATTCTTCCGCTTCACTACAGCTTGCACCCGTGCCCCTCACACGTTCCTTTTTTTTTTTTTTACCTCCCTTGCTTGTATAATATTAAAATATCATCTTTATTATTATTGAATGATAATTAAATTTAGATCTCAATATCTAGTTTTGGAGTAAAAACTCAGTTTCATACAGTTTAAATTCAATTTTTATACAATTTACTTGTAAATTAATATAAATAATAATTCAGTATTTCTTGTGTAACATTAAATTATTTTCATTATTATTTATAATATGGTTGTTAAGATTTCAACATATAGTTTTAGACTCTAAATTCTATAAAATTAGTTTTAATATTAAATTAAAGCTGCAAGCAGCAATGAAAGGGCCCTCGCACCTGGGCTGAACGCCACCCGGTGACTTTAGGAAAACAGCTAACGGTGGGCAATATGCATTTAAAGTGATAAATATAGGAGGAATATGTCAAAGTCAGTTATTTGTGCCAAACTTCCTACTGCCAGCTGGTGGCGCTATGACTGTAAATGAATGTTGGAATGTAGATGTCTTCAGACCAGGACTTTTTTTGTTTGGGGCAGATTGGGCATTGTATGCATGAGTTACAACAACTTCTTGTTTCATGGCATTAATAGCATGCTTTAGCGCTTAGTAAGTGTTTATCATATTTGAGCAAATTTTTAACATGTTTAGCACACAATGGCATATTTTACGGTGTTGCTAATAGTGCATCACAGTGTTAAAGATGTCACTTCTTATTGACAGTAGGTGGCGCTATGACTATAGCTGAATCTTGGCATGTAGATGTGTTCAGGCCAGGACTCATCAAACATGTTAAGTTTGGGGCAGATTGGACACTGCATGCCTGAGTTACATCAACTTCCTGTTTCACTGCATTAATAGCATGCTTTAACAATTAGTTAAGTGTTGCTAGCATGTTTCTAGCATGTTGCCAGCCTATTTAACACTTCAAGACGCTTTTTAATAGGTTGCTAGGAGTCCATAACAGTGTTAAGCATGTCACTTCCTGTTGCCAGCAGGTGGCACTATGACTATAACTGAATATGGGCATGGACATGTGTTCAGGACAGAACAACTATGAAGTTTGAGGCAGATCGGACATTGCTTGCATGTTTCATGGCGAAACATCAAACTTTGTCAGGCCGCCAGGGACACGCCCCTTGACGAAAACTCAAGATCTTCACAATTTAACATCACAAAGGCCTTAAAATAACCCTCACCAAATTTGAAGATGATCCAATTAAAACTGTAGGAGGAGTTCGTCAAAGTACGAGGCCTGGAAATGTCAAAAACTGCACAAAAATTGTACAGTAAATTCAGAATAACGTACATTCTTCATGAGTTTTGGAGCATTAGGCCCTCAAAAATGCGATTCACTTTGGAGAAGAAGAAGAAGAAACGAAGCAATTCCAATAGGGTCCTCACACCATCGGTGCTCGGGCCCTAATAATTCGATATTACTTGTATAATATTAAATTATTATTATTATCTTTATTATTATTTATAACATGGTTGTTGAGATCACAATGTCTAGTTTCGGAGTAGAAACTCAATTTTATACAATTTAATTTGTTATCATTTAAGATTATTTATAATGTCAAACAGCTATTTCCTGGTGGTTTTTAGCCATTTGCATGACTGACTGTTTTAAGATCTCAACATCTAGTTTTAGTGGAGAAACTCACAGTAAGAGCACAATCAGCAGTAAGATGAATCCACATCTCTTTGATGTCTTTCTGACCTTCTCTATCTGTCTCCCGTAGGTGATCTTCAAGCGACCCGTGCTTTGATGATTGTGGGTATCATTGTGTCCATTTGCGGTCTTGGTGTGGCCTGCATGGGCATGAAGTGCACCACTTGTGGAGCTAATGACAAAGTTCGCAAGGCTCGCACGGCCATGACAGGAGGCATCATACTGCTAGTGGGAGGTGAGTGTATGTGTGAGCGAGATACTGAGACTGTTCATGCAAGTTTACAGTAAACCATGTTTGAACTGCTCTTATATAACATCAGTCTCTGCTCTGTCTGTGGGTCAATGAACATCAAAGAAAACAGGGCAGCTAATGCTAAACTAGCCAGTGCTTTGAAGGTATTGGCTAAGAAAGAACCTCTGTCTTTTTTTTTTTAAACAGTTTCTGTATTTTGTTCCTACAGCCCTCTGTGCAATTGTTGCCTGTTCGTGGTTTGCCCACAATGTGATTCGAGCTTTCTACAACCCCTTCACTCCAGTCAACACCAAGTGAGCACAAAGAATTCTACTTTGCACAATTTCTGGAGCAGAATGTCCCAACTCTGTTCCTGGATGTCCCCCAAAAAGACACATTTTGGACGTCTTCCTTATCCAACACACCCATTTCAGTTCTTGGAGCACTTCTACTAGTGCTGATGAGTTAAATTGGGTGGGTTCGATTATGGAAACATGCAAAATGTAAAGTGTTGGGAAGCATCCAGGAACCGGGTTAAGAAAATTTCTTGATGTTCTCGGTGGAGCCATGTTGGCTGCCTCTTGCCCTGGAAGTAAACAAGTGTCAAAATATCCTAAAAGTAACTCTGCACGGTCTGCAAGCGGCAGCAACAAAGAATATGTGTGACCAAGACTGCCCCCTACTGGACAGACACTGAAGCAACTTCAGAAGGTGAAGAATTTCTTCAACAAAATAATGAACTGAATAATGAAGGTTAAACAGCTGTTGCTGAGAAAGAAAACAGTTTACAAACTGTATAATGTCCCATTGTAAAAAAAGGGCTATCAGTTGTCCAAAAGTTCAAATAGAAAATGTATTTACAAACTCACTGGGAGTTTTTGAAATGGAGGACTGTAGAAATCTAGTGTCGGTACAAATACTCACAGATTGCTTTGAGCCCTCAGTGTTTCACTGAAGTAAACAGCTAGGTTGTGTTCTCTGTGTCAAAGTAGAGAAACTTGGGTAGTGGGTCATATATGTTGGTGTTTTCAAAGTGCCCATTAGGGAGCACTATAACCAACAAGCAGGTGTTGCCCAAAATGGAGGCAGATTTTTTTTTTAAAGAATTGTTTTTGAGGATTCATCCTACAGAAATGCTAACATTTTGAATACTCATTTGAGTCACTCTTAAGTAATATCATGTAATTGCATATGGCAGAGGAAGACCCTGAACGTTTTTTTTTCTTCTTTTTTTCATTTGCTTAACACATTTCAGTATTAACACACCACCTCACGTTCATTTGTATTGTCCATGAGCCTATCTGAACATCTTTTACTTATAAAAGCTCATTGATAATGGCAGTGTTTGCTAGCTTATTGTTTATACATTTGTTTTACATGCTTATTTTCAATAAAGTTGGCTTTCATTGTATCAGGCTGGTTATTATTCTGGTGGTTGAATAAGACTTATTTACATTACATCTTATTTATCTTATTTACATTACATCTTATTTATCTTATTTACATTACACAAAAATAGAGTTGGTCTATATTGAAATCTGAGATTCAAAATATAATTTAAACCTGGAAAACAGATTTCAATTATATTTATAAATATATATATATCACTGACCAACTACAAACGTACCATCCTGCAATGTCCTGAAATGTGTTAATTTTTTGATTGAAAAAAATAAATAATAATTACAAATCGCTTGTATCCAAACATTAACAAATGCAATAATGTTACTCATGCATACTTTATTACTCCCACCCCACTGCACTCCCCCAAAACAATTGACAAAAATCCATTAATTTCCATGCAAACATTTAGAAGTCAAAAAAATTAAGAGCAATGTACTTCAACCAACATCTGAGATCACTTTAAAAGATTTGATTGTTCATCTCAGTCAGTATGCATTCGAGATTGTACTTATTTTAATTCAAACTAAAATCAACAGGCACATAAAAACAGTGACCGAATAAAAGATTCTTACAATTAACAATAATCGATGTCATTCGGAGAAATGTCATGACATGAAGGCCCTGGTTACCAAGGTAACCAAAGGTCTTACCAAATGGCGTGTTACATGTTAACAGAGATTCACAGGAAAATGTCCTCTTTGGGAGATGAGTAATCTGACCTGCTGAGGTTAGCCTTCTTATTCTGCAGTAAAGTGCAAATTTAATAAATATAGCCCTGTTGCATTAGAGATCATCAAGATCTTCACTTCAAGAAAGAAACTTCCAAAACTGAGAACACCAGACAGGATCATTTAGTGCTGCAGAAGCACGACATCAGTAAAGTGATGGGCAAGCATTAAGTGACCAGAAAGCAAAGTCCACAGTTCTCTCGTTTGACCTTGAAGTGGTCAAAGCCTTAAAAGCTGTACAGTGAAGGGTGATGGCAACATGTGAGAGGGAGATTTTAGTTCAATTCTCTAGGCCTGCTTTGGTGTGTTGGCCTTATAACAGCTTTGGCACAGTCAGTCATGCATCAGGCAACAGGTGATACTCTCTGAGAAACCGGGAAGCTTCTGTTATTGTTTATTATATCATCCAAGTCCTCATCATCAATAACCACTGTAAAAACAAAAGAAGAAATGTATCATTTGACAACAGAGTGAAAACAAGTGAACACCACGAGTTATATAATACGTTCAAGTAATCCTGGGAAGCTGGTTAAGATTTTTTTAACCCTACATCTACGAAATATTAACAAAAAGAGTGCGTTGGGTGTGGTTTTACTTTGTTTTAATTGCTTTACATTTAATCATTATATTGTTTTGCAATTGTACAATACTATGGTATTTCGTACTTGCAACTTTTTTATAGTTTTATATGTAAATGCAAAAAAAATGTATTCACTCCTAATAAAATTACCATGAATACAGATGTTGCATCCATTGTGTCAAAACATATTTCCAGCGTTTCCCGCTCGTAATTACGACGTTGTGGTGACGTTCATGGGCGTTCAGCTAAATATGCTCTTTCCGATATGACTGAATGCATCATTAGTCACGATTAGTACTTCCCTTCAAAGTTATTTTTAATAACTTCGAAAAGGGATGTTTGTCAAGACAAACTTGTTGGATTTTTAAAATAGTTGCTTGCCTGTTCTGGTAGTTGCTTCAGGGGTATTTACTAGGGGACGTATGGACAGAAATATAGATTTGAACCAAGTTTAGTGAATGTAGCGGGAAAGCTTCAGAATATGTTACATTAGAACATAGAATTTTTCCTGGAGCTTCCCCAGCACTGCATATTTTGGATGCTTCCTTTATTGGATGCACCCAGTTGATAAGTTAAAGGAGTAGTTCACTTCCAGAATGAAAATTCTGTCATCATTTACTCACCCTCCACTTGTTCCAAACCTGTATGAGTTTCTTTCTGCTGTTGAACACAAACGAAGACATTTTAGGGGGGCGTGGCAGAGTCTTAACTTTGATAAAGAATATCTCTTTGGTTTTGAGACTTTAGTCTTTGCAACTTCAGGGGTCTTATCTATGCACAATCAGCTTGTAACACTCCAAAGAGAAAGGAAAACTTGAAATCGCATCATATGACCCCTTTAATAAGTGAACTACTCCTTTAATTCAGATAGATTAAACGAGGGAAATATCCTAAATGTACAGTTCTGGGAAGGCTTTTAAATACACATTTTGATGTAGAATTTTGGTCTCAGGTCAAGTACTTTGAACGGAAAAACTAAGGTTGTACATGACAAACTAACATAATAACACAACCTCATATCACCCACCTCTCGTAGACCGCCCGATCTGTCCGAGTTTGGGGGCTCGCTGCATTCTTCCTGGGGCAGACAGGAGGTCTGGTCTGTTTCTCCCCGCCTGTCCGTGGTCGTACGGGATTACTGGACTGGGTCGTAATGCACCTGCCGGTGGTATGAGGTCGGGCATTTCTGCCATGCCGTACATGTCCTCCTGCTGCTGTACTTCGCTATGTGTATTCATAAAAAAAACAACCGCAAGTCGTTGGTTGGCTAACCTATGCACTTCCGCGACGCCGACAAAATGTTAGTCACCTAAGCTGATCCAAAAGCAGTGTTTACAACACCTGGGGAGGGTAAAACACAGGAAAATTAAGCCAGCAACCTTTTACGCAACGGAAATCCAATATTCGTAATAAACCACATAGTAGTCCGATAAACAGTCGGATTAAACATTGTACAACTGATCGCATGCACCGGATGAGCTCGAGTACGTTCACGCCTGTCAACAACAAAGCTCTCGCTTACATTACGTTATGTTGTAGTCGAAATATATCACATATACAAATGTAAAACAACGGAACGTATTCCTACCTTGTAGTTGTCCGGAGCTTGGACTCGGTTTACACGTATTTGTCTTCTATGTGGATTTGTACGCGGTGTTCAGCGCGAGTCGGAAGTTGCCCACTATCTACGGTGGCGAGAGTCTGTCGTAACTCTCACTTGGGGATTTCCTTGGTCGTTTCTGCATGCGTCACTGCGAGGGAGGGCCCGAGCTCTGCAATACTCAGGTTGCGAGCCCGTGGGTAGGTGGTTATTGACAGCTCGCCCACCGCGTGTGGGCCCGCCAACTGTAACCTACATATGTGAGAGCCCACGCTGGACGCTAGAGCATGTTTCACTTGTACTTTATCACTGACACGGTTTGTTTGAAAAGAATTCAAATTGCTTTATCAGCATGACATCTGTGCCTTTTCTAGGCGTTGCCAAAACTTTACAGGAAAAGGAGGGAGAAAGAAAATGATAGATTATAGCTAATTAAAAAAAAATCAGTTTGAACAATCTGTCCTCACCCAGCCTATTTAAAATAAATAAAACAGTCCAAAACTAATTAATCTCTCAGATGTGAATGTGTAGTGTTTTCTCTCTGTGAGCCGCTTTTAGACATGTGACATTTCCACAGTGTATCAAATAAACAGTGTAACAGTAGGCTCACATGACTTCAATGTTGATGTTGAGACAACAGCTTTTTATCGTTTCTATTTTTGCAGATTAGGCTACATTTTAGGCCAGTAGGTGGCGACGACAAGGGACAGAGTTTGTTGTTAAATCGTAACTATATTCAACCGATTTGTTCAAATATTGATTAATTTAACAACGTAACAAATGGCTGCGTCCGAAATCACGTACTCTGTAAGTACTTTTTTGAGTAATTACTTTATGACCGCAGAGTGTTTTATGGCCCTGTCCCAAATGGCGCACTTCATGTGCACTTATGCGGTGCGTTCCAAATAGGATATATCACCCTACGAAGGGCACTTCGGAGTGAAAACAATCATGGCCACCATATTGAAGGGTCGTTCCAAACCGAAGTGCTCAAAACTGGCCACTTCAAAGGGCCCTTCGGAATGAAGGATTGCGAAGGGTACAACTGAGGGACACTTCTGGCCCCCATGATCCCTTGCGCTGATTCTTTCCATGATGATGGCGCCTCTGTGTGGG